CCCCCCCCCCCCCCCCCCCCAAGGACGGCCCTGCCTGTCTCTTTCTTTTGATTTTTGCCGTGAAATATGACCAGGACATCATCTTGACATGTTTCGTGAGATTCACCCATGAACTTAGTGTTCTCTTAAACATTTAAACGCATCACGTTTCTGGTAATTACAGGCCTGTGAACCAGCAGTGTATTTTAGCATGTCTTACACTCACTGAGACTGAAGGTGTGAGTCACACTCATGAATATCTTTTAGGCCTGAAGTGCCATTTATCAAACAGCTGTTGTATTGTCAGTAGAGGTGCTAATTTGAATTAGTTCCACATTTGCTGAGGGTATTTTCATGCTCAAACGTATTGAATCATAAACCTCCTTTTATAATTAAGCTGAAAACAGCATCAGTATTTTGGTTGATCTGATGATGTACAGCTTTGTTTGCACTGACTTCATACTGTTTTTTTTTTTTTTTTTATCTTTTCAGTGTCCAGAGTCATGAAACTTAGTCCTTGTCAAGCCCCATTATATGTAAGTATCCTTCATGCTTATTTTGCATCCCTCTTTATTTGCTCAGTCAAATCTATTTCAGATGGAGATGCAGTTTTGTTTCACACACACACACAACTAGACAGAAGCATGTGTGTCTGAGTAATTTCAAAAGAAGTGGTGTTAGGCAGCTGCAATTTCAGCAAATATGATCATGCTAGAAAGTTGATTTGTTGTCCAGTTACTGTGCTAATGGATGACCAATCAACCAGGTCAATATATAGGCCAATATTTGGGATTTTTAGGGGTTCACACATGTAGCGCTGAAACCCTATTGTAATTGTTAGAATGGAAAAAGGATCAGCATTCTCCACTTAAAACTGATCGGGTAGACCAAACTGTAAATTGTAGAGACTTGAAAATTGGAGGGATAGTAGAACTCACATGTCTACAACATCACCAAGGCTTGCTCATATATTCACACATACACTAGATCTTCATATCATATGATCGATCTACTCATTCTGAAATACAAATTTGCCTTTAGGACTACTGCTGTCAATCAAATCGTTCTTTAAATATTTGGGATTATTTAAAAAAACCCTACTTTGCTGTTTTTTTTTATTCAAAAATCAATAAAATCAGTGCACTACAATTCAGGTCAATAATTAACAACAACAAAAAATGTAACCTTTGCATTTGGTCAGCTGTAACAGGGTCAATTAAAAATATGGTCTTGATCTAGTGTACCCAAAAGCCTATGAATCCTCAAAGAAAACTCAAATTTTACTGAATTTAAAAAAATATATGAATAGTCTTAAAGAAAAAAAGTTAGATGACTAACTTGTAAATCCAGTCTAAACCTTTTATGCAACTGGCCCCAGGTGAGTGAGGTTTACCTGCACAGCACCTACCAGCTGGCGTCTGTTACACTCACCCCCCTAAGCCTCACTCCCATCCGGGTCACGGCACCAATGTGACCTTTGGCTTTATCTGACCCAGTCCCACCCTTCACCAGGACAAGCACTCTGAATGTGGATGATATTGGAATTAATTTGCAGTCACCCACACACAGAGCAGTAGAAGAGACCGAAAATAGTTAGTCATGTAGTCATGTTAGAGCTCCACCTACAGCATTTTTCCCTAGCTCTGCTGCAGATCGTTCAAGCTCAGTGGGCAACAGCTCCACTGACATAACCAATAGAAAGTGCGATCCCATCAAAAAAACAGTCAATGCAGTAAAAAAACAACTTCATTCAATATATATTTTCTGAAAACAAGACTTCTCTTACTTTTTAGGTAGGCGTGGCTGACTCTTAAATTTATAAAGAATATCTCTTTGGATTTGAGACTTTAGTGTTTGCAACTTTACAGATCTTCTTTATGCACCAAGAGCTTGTAACACTCCAAAGAGAAAGGAAAAATTTCAATCGCATCATATGACCCCTTAAAGTTTCAACAAAGAACCCTCTACATATCAAGACTGCTTTATCTGTTTCTTGAGTTGATTAAATTATAGTTCATTGGAGATTTATGTTCTTAAATGTTTTGGAGATTTAAATTTTGCAATATAGGTTCTTAAAATCGGAACATTGGTTTCTGCATTCCTTACAGTCAAATTCTTATTATTTCTTTTTACAATGGGTCCTTAAAGTAAAGTTTTATTTCTTCAAAGTCACCATTACATCCAAATGGGACTTTGTGACTTTTTAGAGTATTTTATCCATATAATTTTTTTGTTTTGTTTCATTTTTGAAAAAAGTATCTTATGCTCACAAGGGCTGCATTTATTTGTTTAAAAATACAGTAAAAACAGTAATATTGTGAAATATTATTACAACTTAAAATAACTGTTTTCTATTTGAATATATTTTTTAAATTGTATTTATTCCTGTGATGTAAAGCTGAATTTTCAGCATCATTACTCCAGTCTTCAGTGTCATATGATCCTTCTTTCAAATATGCTGCTGATTTGCTGCTCAAGAAACTTATTATTATTATCAATGTTGAAAACTGTTGAGCAGCTTACATTTTTTGTGGAAACTGTGATACTTTTTTATTTTTTTTCAGGATTCTCTGACAAATAGAAAGTAAAGTTTTGTAACATTATTAATGTCTTTTTGTCACTTTTGGTCAATTTAATCATGCATACTTGCTGAATAGAAGTATGCTTCATTTTTTTCATTATTCCATCTGATATTTTCATGTACAGTTTGTCCTGTTTAAATAGGAAATTCATTTAGATTCTAATTAGAAACTTGATTTGTGATAATGGACTTTTGCAGTGGTGGTTCCATCGGCCTCTGAGCGTGTTGTTTGAATATTAATTATATAGTATTTTTTTCTGTGTGTTAATTTGTGAAAGTGTGACAGGAGGAGGGAAGCTTCTCATCTAGAACATCAGGGCGTGTGCTGTTAAATTCACACAGTGCTATCTGTGCTAATCTGTGCAGACCAACACGAGTGTGATATCCTGTTGTAACCACAACTTCAGTTTTGGTTCTCTGAGTTCTTGGGTTAAAAATATATGAAAGATTCCATTTTAGAAGCAAGGATAGGAAGCTTTTTGCAAACCTTTCACATTCATCAAGTCCTTGTGTCTAATACATAATGTAGAAATGTATTGTTTGTTTTTTCAAATTGTAGTTTACTGATCAAGTTTGCAGAATATGAACACATCATTCAGTCAAAAGGTTTTGGAACGGGTGGAGGCTTGGATCATTTTGGCATTTTGTTTGTGATTTTTGCCCTAAAATTCTTATTCATAAACACATTATTTTGTGTTTCACACTTCTCTCTTTTCCTGTATCAGGGCGAGTGTGTGCTAACAGTTCAGCTCTGTGATGAGTCGCTCGGTGAAGGAGAACAGGGGGAGGTGCAGTTCTTCCTGTTGTTCACTGGCTCTGCTCAGAGACATCTTACCAGCACACTGAAGGTCAGCCATGCCACCCTTCAGGCTGTGTGTCCAGGTGAGCGTAATATTAGGCCCTTAGATATGTGATGTTATAGCCAACTGCATCCCAACTGTGACCTCTTGACCCTTTTTCTGCTGAAAAAAAAAGTTTTTGTTACACACATCTCCTAAAACTGGGTTTATGAATTGGGGTTCGTGAGGGAACTGCAGGGGGTTTGTGAGTTTCTGAAAAGCTAATTATAAATTAAATGATCAACACTTACTAAAAATTGTCGTGTTTAATTGTTTACCTGCATGTCATGTGACATTGAACAACATCAGAGAACCATTAACATGCAAATGTGTTAAGTTCTTGAAATATTCGCTTAAAATCTTGCTTTGATATTTTAGGTCAAAGGGGTTCGGCTGACAAAGAAAGTTTGGGAATCCTTGTCTTAAAATAAAGTTTGCTATAAAATTGTTATTTGGTGCTCTAGTAGTCAATAGCACTTTAAAGATAAAAAATAAACTGCATATGGACTGAGCTAAAATTGTTATTATTAATACACAAATATTTAAATGACAATATCTTTGTTTTAATTTTTTAAATAGAGAATCCCCAATAAATGGTGGCATTATAAATCTATAGTAGTTTTCTAAAAAATACAATTAAAATAAAAAAACTTGAATAAACTGTTTGGATCATACATGCACACAACAACTCATGCCAACTTGTGTTTTTAACGTGAAATCGTTCTTCAAGAGATTCATGCTTTAATATTCGTGCTTTTAAAAGGTTAAACCTTTAAAATCCATGCTTTCTTGCTATCCTTTCAATTTAGTGCTAGATTATTGAGCTAAATCTTAAAATATTGCTGATACCATGAAAAGAAAAGAAAAAAGCACACGTTAGCCAGTATTGTGCGTCTCTACTGGTTGATGTTTTAAAAACACTTTACATAAAAATCAAGCTGCAAATTGCTTCTACGTTTCTCTGCATAAACTGGGACCAGATTAAGTGTTTTAGCATTGAAAAATGACATGCATCAAATTTCAGATTGATTAAGAAATTAAAGTGTCCCTATCATGGATTTTTGAAAATTACCTTTCATGCAGTGTGTAACACAGCTCTAAGTGAATGAAAATATCCTGCAAAGTTTTAAATCTGAAAGTGCACCGTGTATAAAGTTATTGTCTCTCAAAAGAAAGAGTCGACTCTGAATCATTGAAACGAGTCGTTTTTAAAACGAATCCCAAGCCGTTTCATGTTGAGGTCAACATGAAACATTAGCATATTGCCCGCCCACTTGTTGGTCTTTTCTTTACCACTAGATGCCGCTTTTGGAGCGGTAAAATAGCGTTTTTCCCGGTAACGCTGTACACAAAGCAGCACTGCGCTCACAAACGCTGCTTTATCAGGCATTACAGGCATGATGAAATGAAAATGAAACCAATCGTACCAATCACCGCAGATTAGCGTCACGCAAAGGAGGGGTTTGGAAAAATGAATCGTTGAGCGAATCGTTTGGGAGTCGTTGAGCAAGTAAGGTAAAAATAAATGCATATTATAAGACAATGAAAGTGTTTTTTGACCATGCATGCATGTCAACCTGATGTTGTGGACTCCCAAAACCAAAATATGAACCTTTCATTACCCATAATAGGCGCACTTTAAGTTTCACATTAAATCATTGCCACATACTAAAGTTGAGGAATGTGGTTGTTCTGGGTGTCACTGTGAGTTCTAGTGATGAATATTTAACTATGTTCTTCTGACTGCGTATTTAGAGACGTTACTCAGTTGGGGGAAGATGAGTTGGGTGAACATGCTGCCCTCTGTCCTCTTTTTAAGAAATTACTTTTGGCAAAGTAAAATGAGCATTCTCTACAATTTACTAATTTGGTTTATGCACACATACATAATCTGTGTTTTAAGCTGTATTTTCCAGTCAAAGATTGTGTTATATGAATTAACCCTCATGTAGGTCCTCACTGTGGACAGTGTTTGTCTCGGGCCAAATAAAGGTGGCAGCACTTGGTCCTGTCAACAAAACATGTTTGCTTGGTGATCCTATTAAGGACTCAGGTGGATTGGGTCACACTGAATATGGTGTAGCTCAGGCCCATAGAGAGAGTTCAATGGAGAAACTGATTGTGGCATATTTTTAGGCGTATCTATATATGCATTAGTCTTTTCTTAACTCATCGTTTGAATGATTTGCGTGTTTATTTAGGGCTGTTTGGGCTGAAGCGAACCCGCCCTCTATGCAGATATTCAGTCAGCATGAATGAATGACATTGAGGGCAGCAATGCTTGTGTTTCAGTGTCAGATGCCTCAGCAGTCAGTGAAGGGGATGATCCGCTGATGGAGGGAGATTACAGGGAGAGGCTGTGTTTGCCACTTGTGAACCTAGTTTGCGTGTTTGTATATGGATTTTGCATTGAAGTCAACGTGAAAATGTACCTTTTATTTAAATATACCAGGAATAGTTCACCTAATAATGAAAATTTGCTGCAATTTTACTCACTCTCAGGCCGCCAAGATGTAGATGAGTTTTTCTTCATCAGAAATTTAGCATTACATCACTTGCTCACCAATGGATCCTCTGCAGTGAATGGGTGCCGTCAGAATGAGAGTCTAAACAGCTGATAAAAGCATCACAATAATCCACAAGTAAAAGAAAAGCTGTGTGGCCAAAATACGTGTCCATAATAACGCTTCCCTGAAAAAGTCTATAAATCCACCAAAATATTTGTTTAGAACCATTTTTGACTGTTTTTGCTTGTCTTGCAGCAGTATTATGGAAAGAGGACTCGTATTTTATCCAGAAGCAATGGTTAAAAATGCCTTAATGAGGGATTTGTTTCTTACAAACGTGCAGCTTTTCACTTCACAAGATGATAATTGATGAACTGGAGTCGTGTTTGGATTATTGTGATGTTTTTATCAGCTGTTTGGACTCTCATTCTGATGGCACCCATTCACTGCAGAGGATCCTTTGGTGAGCAGGTGATGTAATGATACATAAATTTCTCCAAATCTGTTCTGATGAAGAAAATAATTCATCAACATCTTGGATGTCAGTGACATTATTAAAAAAAAATCAAAAATCAAAATGTAATAATTTACAGTACTGGGTCAGGGAAAAATTACAATAACCAGTAACATTGAAGCACTTAATCACTTTCCGGATAAAATTTGGGGTCCTACTCTACATTTGAAGAGTTTGGTTCCAAAACACTGTAAATCCATTTTGATTAATTTGAGTAAAAAATGTACTTGTCAGTGTAAGTTTTTTTATTTATGCCATTAATGTTTTTGTTAATACAGCATATAGCACTAGTCAATTTTTGCGATATTGCAGTGATCTACGGCTCTGTGTATTAAATGCCGCTCCATTTGAAAGCACGTGAGGGAGATTTACTATTCACAGAACCGGCTTTACTGACGAGATGCGCATGACAATCGCATGCGATTTATCGTGCAACCCTAGTTAGTTTGTTTGTTGATCACAAAGTACAAAATAGATGAGGAAAACTAGGATGCTGGGTGTATTCAAAACGCCGCCATTACTTTCTAGAGTGCGTGGAATGGTGCGCTGTGATTGGTTGAGCAGATATATCGCATTCTGCAGAAAAGGGAGACTGGTGTTTGTCGTGGTTTGGAAAAAAAAGGGAGAAACATGACAGAATAACTCGGCAGATATCGCATTTTGCGAAAAATTAAAAATGGACTTTTTAATACCGACCAGAAACAATACCGATTTTGGCGGAAACTTTTTTTAACAATGGCATTTATCGCGTTTTGGAACCAAACTCTTCATTTGTTTCTTAATTAAGATTCTGTTTCACTCTGAAATATGTATCATTATGGAGGTTAAATATTTCTAAAACTGGTATCCTGTTCTTGCATGACTCGAAGTATGTTATTGGGACATTGCAGAAATATTTTTTTCTGGAAATAGAAATTACATCATATTTGTCCTGTTTACAGTTTTGTCATGTGGCTGATGGGTTACAAAGTCATGTGCATTACAAAAGCTGTCATTAACTTTTCCTCTCTGTACAGCTCATAACTGCTGTGAGTGGGTGCTGGTCACCCTGTGCTCAGCGGGACCAGATGGTAACATTCATACTCTGGCTACCGAGCGCCTGCACTTCGTACAGGACCTGGCCTTCGACATGGCCCAGTTCCTGGTGAGCGCGGTGGGGCAGACAAACCTACTGGAAGAGGCTCTGCTACTGGACGAGCATCAGATCCCACTGCAGGAGTGCGAAAAGCTGGACCAGAATCTGTCCCTGGCCCTCAAACATATCACGCTGCCCCCTGGCTGGAACCTGCTGAGGAATAACACACGTGAGTGCAGCTTGGTGGTGGCTAGTGCTTCGATCCGGGCTGGCAATCAAAAGGTTGTAGGTTCAAGTAATCGTGCGTTACACCTGCAACAGTTAACTATTTTCTATTAAAACTTAAATTTTTCTGTTTAAATATGGAAATGAGGCATTGTCTAATTAAATATGCACTAATTTACATACATTTCTATTACAGAAATCTGAACATTGGATAAAGCCAGGTTCAAAATTCTTGTTTCATTTTGTTTAATTAGAGTTAAAGGTTTTTACAGAGAGGGTTTTAGACTAAACTAAGATAAGTAGTCATGTTCTAATAATGTTCTAATTTTTAATTTAATTAGTTGTAACTATTTATCACAATAACTTAAACCAGCATAATTTTGTAGCTTAACTGATCATGACAAAGAAAAGTGCATTTGGAGGTCTGATGGCTGTTTATTTCATATAAAATGGAAAAATGGCAGCTCTTTGCATCTGTTGCGGTTTTGAATGTGGTCCATTTGATTTCAGAAGTTGAGCACATCTACTTTAATGTTTTATTTTAAAGTTGTCTGTTTGGCATAATGGTTGAGATGTTTCAGATCTGTTTACATCGTCCAATAGGACTTTATCATATATTTATTATGTATTATACTCAACAGAAGTTAAGATGTGGTTGATCCTTTAGGGGGCGTTATAGTATTAGTGTAGATCATCAGGCTCATACTTCATTGATTGATTTCTAACATTCTATAAGATGAAAAAAAAGTACAATTTACAGCCACATTTAATTTAATATGTAATCTATTATAAAATACAAATATAAACTGCTCAATTTTAGAGGGCTAATAATACTTTTGTGGAAATCTCTCAAGTTATCCTTGGCCTGCGACTTATGTCTCTATTTTTTACATTTGTTTTCATTCTTTTTTTGGATATCATTACAAATTTAGAAGAGAATGTACTGGATGTTATTCCACAGCACATATCTGTAGCCAAATAAACGTCCCTAAATGACATTCCAGATCAGGTTCCAAGTAATCAGAACAGTTCCTTTATTTTTGGCCTGGTTCTTCTCTGCTGAGTCACAGTACTTTGTCCTTGTCCTAACAAACTTGTGTGGTGGATTATTTTGCTTGAGTATTGTGCTTGTGCTCTTTTTCTTTAAAACAAATATCACATGCCTTGATATTTTATGCAATGCAAAAACATTCTTGTTCAAATACAAGGACATATAGAAATATACTGTGTACACACTACCATTCAAAACTGTTGGGTAAGGATTAAAAAAAAAAGTGTTTTAAAAAATGAATACTTTTATGAAGGATGCATTAAATTGATCAATAATGACAGTAAATACATTTATAATGTTACAAAATAACTTTGTTCATCAAAGAATCAGTTTCCACAAAAATATTAAGCAGTACGTCTGTCTAAAATATATCAACAAAGTCATTTTTAAATTGCAATAATATTTCATGATATTCCTGTTTTACTGTATTTTTGATCAAATAAATGCAGCTGATAGGAGGATAAATGCATTAAAAAACGTATAACTTTGGAATGATAAACGTACATTGTATGATTTATTGTCATAGCAGAAATTTAATTTGCAATTAAATAGAATGCTAGTACTTGTAAATTAGGGCAAAAGACTAGGTCAGACAGACATTGTTTTACATCCCTCTGTTTTTCTCTCTGAATATTCTTATTTCTCTCTTTCAGGACTGGAACCTCAAGAGACCCTCCTTCACTTTGCAGCCCGCCGCGGGCTCCTTAGAGTGGCCAGTTTTCTCCTCAAGCAGCCAGGGGCCCGAGAGGCCCTCAACCTGTGTAACAAACAGGGCGCCACACCGGTGATCATCGCCGAGAGTCGAGGATATACAGCACTGCTGGAGCTCTTCAGCCTGTGAGTGATGTGCTTACTGTACACACACAGCATCTTATTTATTAAATTTAATAAATAATTTATTTATTAATGACTAATTTATTAAACACAAGTTTTTGTATTATAAGTGAACAGTTTACGAAGCTTAAAGGAACACTCCACTATTTTTGAAAATAGACTCATTTTCCAACTCCCCTAGAGTTAAACAGTTGAGTTTTACCGTTTTCGAATCCATTCAGCCGATCTCCGGGTCTGGCGATAGCACTTTTAGCTGTAGCTTAGCATAGATCATTGAATCTGATTAGACCGTTAGCATCTCGCTCAAAAATGACCAAAGAGTTTCTATATTTTTCCTATTTAAAACTTGACTCTTCTGTAGTTACATCGTGTACTAAGACCGACGGAAAATGAAAAGTTACGATTTTCTAGGCCGATATGGCTAGGAACTATACTCTCATTCCAGCGTAATAATCAAGGAACTTTGCTGCCGTACTATGGGTGCAGCAGGCGCAATGATATTACACAGTGCCTGAAAATAGGCTAACTTCCGTCAACATAACCTACGTGACCACTTGCTTGCACAGGGAGCGTGCTGGGGACTATTTTCAGGCACTGCGTAGTATCATTGCGCCTGCTGCATCCATGGTATGGCAGCAAAGTTCCTTGATTATTACGCCAGAATGAGAGTATAGTTCCTAGCCATATCGGCCTAGAAAATTGCAACTTTTAATTTTCCGTCGGTCTTAGTACACGATGTAATTACAGAAGACTTCAATAGAATAGTGAATAGTGGAGCGTTCCTTTAACTTGGTTTTGTTTCTGCTACTTCAGCTATAATGGTTAGTTCGCAATAAAGCTGTCTGAAGCTTACAGTTTTTAAAGGGTTAGTTCACCCAAAAATTTAAATTAGCCCATTGATTATTCGCCCTCAAGGCATCCTAGGTGTATATGACTTTCTTCTTTCAGTCGAATCCATTGGGAGTTATATTAAAATTTGTTTTTGATCTTTTAAGCTGTTTAATGGCAGTCATCAGGTGTTGCAGTGCATCAGTCCAAAAGAAGTGAAATAAAGCGCATGCATCCATAATAAAAAGTGCCTCACACGGCTCCGGGGGGTGAACAAAGGCCTCCTGTAGCGAATCGATGCATTTTTGTAAGAAAAATAACCATATTTAAAACGTAATAATCATTTTAATCTAGCTTGCGTTCACTGTTGTACACTGAAGCAGCTCCTGGCGGATGACGTAGGATGTCGGCTTTGTGCATGTGCCGCTCAGAAGTGATGAACACAGAAGCACAGGGGAGAGATCAAAACAAAACAACGGTCATGAATTAGAAGTACAAAACGAGGATTTGTCGGAGAATTTCGATATAAGCCAAGAGGAGACTGGTTTTCCTTTGCTAAAGTAAGGAAACTTTGCTTCCTTTACTCCTGTAAACAAACGTTGGTTTTCACGAGACTCACCGGCGCATGCGCAGCGCCGACCTCATACGTCATCAGCCCGGAGCTGCTTCCATGAACAACTGTTGGCACAAGCTAGATTAAAGTGATTATTAAGTTTTGAATATGGATATTATTTTTCTTACAAAAACACATCGATTCAATACAGGAGGCCTTTGTTCACCCCCCGGAGCCGTGTGAGGCACTTTTTATTATGGATGAATGCGTTTTATTTCACTTCTTTTGGACTGATGAACTGCAACACCCGCTGACTGCCATTAAACAGCTTGAAAGATCAAAGACAATTTTTTATATAACTCTGATTGGATTCATCTGAAAGAAGAAAGTCATATACGCCTAGGATGGCTTGAGGGTGAGTAAATAATGGGCTAATTTTCATTTTTGGGTGAACTATCCCTTTAAGTTCACTCACTATTTTAAACCTCTATGTTGTTAACCAAAACCATAATTTTTTATTTTTTTATTTTAGCTAGTTGCTTGGGCAACATTTTTCATTTTCGTTTAGTTTAACTTATAGTACTCAAATAATTAAAGCTGAAATAAAAATGGATAAAAATACGCAAACTTCTAAAATCATCTTAAAATCTACTTGAGATACATTATTGGTGCTTTTTTTCCCCACACAAGAAACATCTGAGAAATAGGAAGTTTCCATTAGCTCTCAATTTAATCTCATTGCTTAGATATTATAGTTATCTAATTGCGTATTGTTCTTTCATCTGCTGCATGCTGCTTCAGACAGCAGTGACAGTTGCTTTCATGTGGCAAAAATCACTCCACCCCGCATTAGTCAACGCCAGTGGCCCAGATTTGAACCATTACCTCTTATTATTAATGCTCTCGAGTTGGCGAAAGAATAGAAAATATGCATTCAGCTGCATAATAACTCCATTTGTATATTTCGATCATTCCCCACTGCCTCTACAACAAATAAATCAAAGCAGTACATCCATAAGAACTGTAATTATATTGAGTGTCTTGATGACAGCAGGGTGTTATTTTGTTTAAAGTTGAAATGGAACAGTTTGAGCATATCCTGTTCATCTGATGGTTTGTTTTGATTTAGGGAGGATTTGGATACAGACATTGGCGTTGAGACGCTCAGACAGGTCTCCTCCTCGAGCAGTTGTGTGGTACAGCACCACCCCTCTCTGAACACCTACACCCTGTCTTTGGGCACAGAGCTGGGCGGCGCACCACCCAACCTACAGGCCGACATCCTGGAACTGCGCAGACTGATACTTTGCCATTGTCAAGGGAAGGTGAGTCAGGTCAGTTTGTTTAGCTTTTCTAGATGTTCAACCTGGTCTGTTTCTCTCTCTTGCTTTCTGTCTGTTTGTTTTTTCCTTTCTTTTTGAGTGTGATGAACTTCTCCAGAGTTGAGTTATTCAGCACGACAAGGACAGCATGTGTAAACATGAAGAATAATGATAATAATATATTGACAAAGACAAACTGTAACTTTAGTTTTAACCATGTGGTTGAATCTGTAATATCACTTCCTTTAAAGTGATATCAAAAAGATCAAACCTTTAAAAGATAAAAAAAAAAAATATATATATATATACAGTGGGTACGGAAAGTATTCAGACCCCCTTAAATTTTTCACTCTTTGTTATATTGCAGCCATTTGCTAAAATCATTTAAGTTAATTTTTTTTCCTCATTAATGTACACACAGCACCCCATATTGACAGAAAAACACAGAATTGTTGACATTTTTGCAGATTTATTAAAAAAGAAAAACTGAAATATCACATGGTATAATACCTAAGTATTCAGACCCTTTGCTCAGTATTTAGTAGAAGCACCCTTTTGATCTAATACAGCCATGAGTCTTTTTGGGAAAGATGCAACAAGTTTTTCACACCTGGATTTGGGGATCCTCTGCCATTCGGGTGTAGAACCATCTCAAGGATGATCAGAAGAAATGGACAGCACCTGAGTTAAATATGAGTGTCACAGCAAAGGGTCTGAATACTTAGGACCATGTGATATTTCAGTTTTTCTTTTTTAATAAATTTGCAAAAATGTCAACAATTCTGTGTTTTCTGTCAATATGGGGTGCTGTGTGTACATTAATGAGGAAAAAAAAATAACTTAAATGATTTTAGCAAATGGCTGCAATATAACAAAGAGTGAACAATTTAAGGGGGTCTGAATACTTTCCGTACCCACTGTGTGTATATATATATATATATATATATATATATTATTATTTACTGGAAATGTCACAGCATGAGATGACTGAACAGGAAGGTTAATTCTTTTCAACATTCATGTATTTTAAAGGAAATAAAACAACAACAACAAAAATATTCATATGTGACCCTGGACCACAAAACCAGTCATAAGAGTCAATTTCTCGAAATTGAGATTTATACATCATATGAAAGCTGAATAAATAAGCTTTCCATTGTATGGAAAGCCATGTATGGTTTGTTAGGATAGGGTAATATTTGGCCGGAATACAACTATTTGAAAATCTGGAATCTGAGGGTGCAAAAAAATACAAATACTGAGAAAATCGCCTTTAAAAGAACACTGCACTATTTTTGAAAATTGGCTCTGTAACAAAGTTCGTAGTCACAGGAAGAAGGAGATGGGAACCGGCGAACGTTTAAACAATTTAATAAAATAAACACAAAATGAAAGTAAAGCAGCAGCCCCTCGCGGACGACTGTCGCACACAAAACACAAAATAAAATCCAGGCCTAGTCCTCTCTCCCAACACTGTCGTCACTCTTCCTTTTATGCTTCCGAAGCTCCTCCGTGGGACTCGAGACCGGTGAGTGGCGCAGGTGTCGCGCATTAGCATGTTCTCCACCGGCCTCGCTCCGTTCCCATGGCTCTCGACCCTGCCCCTCTCGTCACAGGCTCATTTTCCAACTCCCTTATAAACAGTTGAGTTTTACCGTTTTCGAATCCATTCAGCCAATCTCTGGGTCTGGCAGTAGCACTTTTAGCTGTAGCTTAGCATAGATCATTGAATCTGATTAGACCATTAGCATTTCGCTCAAAAATGACCAAGGAGTTTCTATATTTTTCCTATTTAAAACTTGACTCTTCTGTAGTTACATCGAGTACTAAGACCGACGGAAAATGAAAAGTTGCAATTTTCTACGTCGATATGGCTGGGAACTATACTCTCATTCCGGCGTAATAATCAAGGAACTTTGCTGCCGTACCATGGGTGCAGCAGGCACATTGATATTACGCAGCGCCTGAAAATAGGCTAACTTTCGTCAACATAACCAACGTGACCACCTGCTTGCACAGGGAGCGTGCTGGGGACTATTTTCAGGCGATGCGTAATATCATTGCATCTGCTGCATCCATGGTACGGCAGCAAAGGTCCTTGATTATTACGCCGGAATGAGAGTATAGTTCCTAGCCATATCGTCCTAGAAAATCGCAACTTTTCATTTTCCGTCGGTCTTAGTACACGATGTAACTACAGAAGAGTCAAGTTTTAAATAGGAAAAATATAGAAACTCTTTGGTCATTTTTGAGCGAGATGCTAACGGTCTAATCAGATTCAATGATCTATGCTAAGCTACAGCTAAAAGTGCTACCGCCAGACCCGGAGATCGGCTGAATGGATTCGAAAATGGTAAAACTCAACTGTTTAATTCTAGGGAAGTTGGAAAATGAATATTTTCAAAAATAGTGGAATGTTCCCTTAAAGTTGTCCAAATGAAGTTCTTAGCAATGCATATTACTAATCAAAAATTATGTTTTGATATATTTACGGTAGGCAATTTACAAAATATCTTCATCGAACATGATCTTTACTTAATATCCTAATGATTTTTGGCATAAAAGAAAAATCTATAATTTTTGGCTATTGCTAAAAATATACCCAAGCGACTTAAGACTGGTTTTGTGGTCCAGGGTCACATATGCATTATACATCTCATTTCAATAAATGTGACATTTAGGTAGAATTCAGTGGTTGTATTGGTTTTAAAAAATATAATGGTGACGACGAGCCAATTTTCAACATGCAAATAGGCTACAATTTTTATGAGGAATAATGTTTTTATTTTCCAGTTTATTCAGCAGTCAGTCTTCAGTGTCACACAATCATTCTAATATCTTGATTTGCCACTTAAGAAACATTTCTTATTAATTCTGCTTTAAAATATTAAATAGTATAATATTTTCTGCTTAATATTTTAGTAGAAACCGTAATGCTTTTTTGTCATTACAGAAATTCATACTCTTGTAACATTATAAATGTCTTTACTGTCACTTTTGATCAATTTGATGTGGCCATGCTGAATAAAATAGTTTTTTTCTTTAAAATATCCTACTGAGTTTTGAACTGTAGTGTATGTGATAGTATATTATGATAATTATTATTATTTTATATGATATTTAACACAAAATATTTATGAAAAATATTAATATTGCTATATATCTGAATTCCTCTGTACAGCTTGAAACGTTGTACTTCTCATGTTACTGCATCTTTAGGATGAATCACTGTGCTGTCTTTTTTGCAAATCTCTATGGATATCAGAAATGTCTGCTAAATTAATACATACTATTATGCAGTCAACAGAAGGGAACTTGTTTGCCAAGAAATATCCCTCAGATTTCACTTTTCTCCAACAGCTGTAGATCTGCTATTCATTGCAGTGGCATAACTGTAGAATTAGAGAATTGCTTGAAGAAGTAAAAACCCTAAGCTGTTGTTCTGTGTTCATGTTCAGGGAGGAGTTGCCTTTCAGCAGAGCTCAGACTCTCTGCACATTGCCCAAGAATGTGATGACGGCCTGGAGACCAGAGATTGCTGTTGTGAAGAGGCACCTCACGACTCCCTTGATACGAGAGAACGAGAGTTCACTCCTTTTAGCATAGAAGAAAACAAAGGATGTAATGACCGTCTGGATCCCTCACAAAACAGGGAGGGTGACGGAGGTCCCTCGCTCAGCTGTGAAACTGCCCCGGCTCTCCTACATAATGGTAATAGCAAAGATCAGCGGGCGTGTGCTTGTGAAAACAGTGAGACTGATTGCAGAGAGCAAGAGGAGCGTTCAACTACTGGTGTAGTTAGTACCGGTGACGTTGGAGATAGTAGTGATGGTTTGCAGAGTGGTTCTGAGAGCATAGTCAACAGAACCTCTTCCTGCAAACAACAGAAAGAGGAAGCTGATAAAGCAGATGACTTAATCTGTGAAGTGCCAGGTTTTGCTGGGGGGCAAAATCAGGAAAAAGGACACAACTCTGTAGAAGAGAAAGAGCTAGCTGAACGTAGCCCCACCGTTGAGGCAGGAGATATGGGAATCACTCAGTCTTTGGACACGCCAGAAAACTCGGATGTTGAATCTTCTTTTCAAGGCACTGAGACCGATGCTGAGGAAGAGGATGGGTGCGGAGATCTCATTGAATCTGAGGAGGTGCGAGAAGAAAGCAAGGAACCACCGGATGTAAATCCTGATGGAGATACACCTCTAGATAGCTCACACCAAAATTTAGTGGAAAATGAAATGCATGCTTGTCGAGGCATTTGTGATAAAACTGGTGACCCAGGAACCCATAGACTAGTGGGAGACATTTGTGAGAAGATCACGTGTAATGTGGAAGGTAGTCGAGATCTTGATTCTTCAGTAATCTTTGATCAAGAAGAAGCCGATGAGGAGTTTCAGGAGAGTCTAGAAATGCCATACATGGAAACAGATGGAGACCAACAGAACGAAGAACTTAGAGATACAACCTCAAGGATTTCAGTTGCTGAAGATGAGAGCGTTTTACACCTGCGTGAAGTAATTCAAGATGTGTTGCCTGTAGAACAACCAATTCTTTCAATTGAAGACGTAGTGTTTGAAGGGAGTGAGTTTGACGGACAGAAACTAAGTTCTTCAAGTGTCTTACAAACTGAGCTTGGTCCAGAATCTGGATCTTCCACAGCAGCTAGTGAGGACATCTTAGAACCTGAAGAACTAGAGGTTCTTTTAAGTTCTGGCTGTGAGGGGACGGAGAAAGTTCAAGGGAACCAGGAGGACGAACCCGTTTGTGAAGCTCAGGTGTCAGCGGAGGATGTTCTTGAGTCGGCGATTTCTGCAAATATGGAGAAAGTGAATCTCCAAGGTGACTCTTCCCAGGATCCCAGACAGGATATGACCTCAAACAATGGGGTCATGCAGGGCACAGCAGAAATAGACCTTTCAGAAGAGGATGCAGCTGTAGTTTTTGTAAACACAGATGAATCTGGAGATCAACGTGTCTTGGTGGATCCCTCAGACATACTAGCTAAGTCAAATGAGTTTGGAATCTCTGAGGAAAGCCTGGCAGTCAATGCAGAAGATCTGTTTGGTGTTTCGGTCCACAGTGACCATGTAGATGGTGCCTTACATGTCCCAAATGCTCTTGATGAGGATGGCATTATAGTTCCTTCTGTATGTCTTGAACAAGCCCAAGCGAACTTAGATCCAGTGTCTCAAGAAACAGAAGCTGTGCGACCAATGGGTGAAGAAGACCTACTGAAAGGTGAGCTGAACAATAGAAATGTAAAATATTTATGATGTTCCATGTTTTCTGGAAAAAAGTTGCACCTGATTATAAGTCACACTGTGTTAAAATTGCATTTTTAACATGCCCCTATTATGCCATTTTTTAAGTATCTAATATTATTTTGGGGGTCACCAACAATAGGTTTACATGCATGCGAGGTCAAAAAATGCTTTAGTTTTCTCAAAATATGCATTTAAAGGAGTGATTGATTATGATTTCACTTTTTGAACTTTAGTTTGTGTGTAATGTTGCTGTTAGAGCATAAACAGTGTCTGCAAAGTTACAATGCTCAGAGTTCAATGCAAAGGGAGATATTTTCTTTTAAATAAATTGCTGTTTAAGGACTACAAATACGGCTGGTAGGGACTACAACCAGCTGCTTCCTGGGTTTGTGACATCACTAACCCCGATGTTTACATAAACCCTGCCCCCGGGAACACGCAACTACCCGTAATGGTAAGGGGGCGTGATGTTTCCGGACAACGTGCACTAGGCGGTTATACAATCACAAACACACTGAGCCAATCAGAGCCCATTGCATAATTCTGAGGGAGGGGCTTCAGAGAACCAGGAACTTAACAGACTGTTTTGACGAGAATGGAAACAGTGGTGTAGAATAAAGGTAAAATATGTTTTTTTTTTTTTTTAATTGAAGCATAACACGTTACACTGCACCCCATAAACACAATCAAGCTTTCGAAAAAAGCTGGTCAACCACCCCTTTAATATCACCTTATTTTCCAACAATTCTCAAATGATATGTTCAAAGCAGTTCTAAGATTCAGTCTCTCTAAACCCCTCCTTTCTCTGAGCCTACTCTGCTCTGATTGGTCAGATGGCCTAGTCTGTTGTGATTGGTCTACCGCGTACAGCGCGTGTCAGAATCAATGTGTCCATTGCCATAGTTCCGTATTTTGAACGCTCAATATTATAGAAAATATAAACATCTATTATTTATCATACATACAGGTTGTGATTCAATGGAGTCAGATGGTCCATATAAACTGGGTACTGAGCTCATCTTTCAAGAGCAAGCGTTTTGTGAATCCCACGCTGAACTTCACGAGATTAGAGAAGCAGTCGTCAGTAAAATGACGGGAACACAAAAAAAGATTGGGGTTGTACTGCTGTGGTACAGTGGAAAAAATTAATTTTAACCTCTGATTCTTTGCAGCCTCATCTTTCTGAAATGAAAATTAAACAAATTTACTTTCACAGCATAGGACACGGCGTCTTCTCGACATGATGTTAACCACATGAACAAGCTTCAGGGTTTAAGGGCGGGTCAAGTTGTTTGTGGCCGACCAACGTAGAGCATAGGCAGGCATTATGCAAATGTGTTACCCCATGATGTGTAGCCTTCACGGAAGTGGGATTCGAATTATTGATGACTTGTTTAGGCTGTTCAGAGTTGATTCTTTCTTTTGGGAGACAATAACTTTATTTATCGTGCATTTTTGGCTTTACAACTTTGCGGATAGTTTACATTCACACTCAGCTACATTACACACTGCACGAAAGGCAATATTCAAAATGGCATAATAGGGGCACTTTAAGAGGAAAAAAAAAGGATAAGTCACATTTTATTATTTTATTCAGCAATAATGTGAAATGCCAGTAAATAAAATGAAACATTTACAAACATTGTAAACACTATAGATATGTATTTTAATTCCAGTCACTCCACAACAAAACCTTTAATAGTATTCAGAACACAACAGGAATGAAAAATAAATAGACAATTATACACTATAGTGGTATTCCTTATCAACATTTATTACAAATTCCATGGCTATGCAAATTTATTTAAAGTGATAAACAAATAAACTTGGGCTCATGTACCTCTCTCATCAGACACAAATCTAAAATATGTGCATTTTGTGCATGTTTTGTATGCTTGATGTAAATTGCATAGGTTGCTTTGGAATATAAGTTGCAACACATTTCAGATTATATTAAAACCATGACTTATTTTCCTGAAAATATGGTATTATATGCATATATTCATTGTTGATCCAACCATTTTACTGGTTCTAAAAATGACATTTTGTTAGTCTGAATCAAGGTGAAAACTTAAAAAAATCCATAACCAAGATTCCCGTTTAATTTCATCACTGATCAAATAATACAGTGTGATTGCATAACAGGCTTTCTAAGTCTCTTCAAGAGCACCCGCCTTCCACGATAAACCAAAATTAAGTAATTATACCTTTCTGATCCAACAGAATAATTGTAAGTAGCCTGTGTGTCTCCGACACGCACACGCCTGAGCGAACAGGGTGCATTTCATCGTGATTTATGTACATAACAAAATGTAGCTTAGCGACTGGTGATGTCATTATGGGATGTCCAAGGAAGTGAAGTTACAAGACGAGGTCAGCATCCATTTCCTGAACTGAACTTTCTCCATTCTCACAGTGACCGAAAAAGTACATTGGTACACCCATGTTTTTAAAGAGTATTGTTATCTTTGCTGAGTTACGCAACTGAACTAAAATAGCCAGATTTACCATTTCCAGAAATATGCCTGTTTGGTTGATGCTTTTGCAGTGCAGGACATGTTTTTAGTTCATTTATCATGACTCGTATATATTCCATTCTTGAGTGAACTACAAATAATGTTATTAAAAATAAAATATGTTTTCTTTATTTTCATGAGCAAATTTGTACTGTTTGTTCTTTTACCTTTTTGATCATTCATATCTGACTGATTTTATGAATTTTAAATGCTATATGTTCTGTCGCAGAGTCAGATGCACGTTTGGAGGATCAGATGGACTATCAGAAGACAATGTGGCTTGATGTCATGGACAAAAAAGATGCACCAGTGGTTAGTACTAAACATATAGTGTTTATAGACTTTATATTTAATTTACTACACTTGACTTATGAAATATGCTGTGGGCGTATGTTGTGACATTAATGACATCCCATGATAGTTAGGTAGCAGAAATACAGTAGTTTTTTACTGTTTTTGTCACTTCTTTGTTTTATGTTGATAGATGATTTTGACTGTTAGGGTTAACTTTTTTTCGGAATCACATTACACGTTTGTTTAAAAAGTTATTAAGTTGATGCTTGGCAAACCCAACAGGACGCTTGTGATTTCAAACCTTTTTTAACCAAAATAGCTTCATGCTTTTTTGTCATTATCTCTGTCAGTGAGATCCTAACATTCATCAATATTCACAGTTGCTTTGAAGTAAATAATTTTGAGCACCGAGCTCCAAATGGGGGCGATATTTCCCTGAAAAACATAACATAATATCCTGTTACTCAGCAGCATTTTGGTCGGGTCCTCATAGTGTCTGTCATGTATAACCAATAACAGATGTGTCCTCCCTTTCATCTAGTTATGAAAAGATCTGAGAATTATTATAAACATCTGAATATCCAGAAGTAATATCTTTGGATATGTGGAGCCAGTGCTACAGTAAAGAACAGAAATGCATGCACTACCGTTCAAAAGTTTGGGGTCTGTTAAAAGTATTTTTTTTTTCCATTCTGATCTTATTCATCAAGAATGCATTAAATTGATCAAAAGTGATGGTAAAGACATTTATAATGTTAAAAAAGATTTCTATTTCAAATCAATGAAAAACAAAAATTAAGTATTTACACAAAAATGTTAAGCAGCACAACTGTTTTCAACACTGATAATAATAGAAAATGTTTCTGGAGCAGCAAATCAGCATTTTAGAATGATTTCTGAAGGATCATGTGACACTTAAGACTGGAGTAATGATGCTGAAAATTCAGCTTTGCATCACAGGAAGAAATTACAGTTTAAAATATATTCAAATAGAAAATGGCTATTTTAAATTGTAATAATATTTCACAATATTACTGATTTAACTGTATTTTTGATCAAATAAATGCAGCCTCGGTGTGAACACTTTTGAACGGTACTGTTTATGCGGCCATATGCTCTCATAGGACACGGCGTCTTCTCGACATGATGTTAACCACATGAACAAGCTTCAGGGTTTAAGGGCGGGTCAAGTTGTTTGTGGCCGACCAACGTAGAGCATAGGCAGGCATTATGCAAATGTGTTACCCCATGATGTGTAGCCTTCACGGAAGTGGGATTCGAATTATTGATGACTTGTTTAGGCTGTTCAGAGTTGATTCTTTCTTTTGGGAGACAATAACTTTATTTATCGTGCATTTTTGGCTTTACAACTTTGCGGATAGTTTACATTCACACTCAGCTACATTACACACTGCACGAAAGGCAATATTCAAAATGGCATAATAGGGGCACTTTAAGAGGAAAAAAAAAGGATAAGTCACATTTTATTATTTTATTCAGCAATAATGTGAAATGCCAGTAAATAAAATGAAACATTTACAAACATTGTAAACACTATAGATATGTATTTTAATTCCAGTCACTCCACAACAAAACCTTTAATAGTATTCAGAACACAACAGGAATGAAAAATAAATAGACAATTATACACTATAGTGGTATTCCTTATCAACATTTATTACAAATTCCATGGCTATGCAAATTTATTTAAAGTGATAAACAAATAAACTTGGGCTCATGTACCTCTCTCATCAGACACAAATCTAAAATATGTGCATTTTGTGCATGTTTTGTATGCTTGATGTAAATTGCATAGGTTGCTTTGGAATATAAGTTGCAACACATTTCAGATTATATTAAAACCATGACTTATTTTCCTGAAAATATGGTATTATATGCATATATTCATTGTTGATCCAACCATTTTACTGGTTCTAAAAATGACATTTTGTTAGTCTGAATCAAGGTGAAAACTTAAAAAAATCCATAACCAAGATTCCCGTTTAATTTCATCACTGATCAAATAATACAGTGTGATTGCATAACAGGCTTTCTAAGTCTCTTCAAGAGCACCCGCCTTCCACGATAAACCAAAATTAAGTAATTATACCTTTCTGATCCAACAGAATAATTGTAAGTAGCCTGTGTGTCTCCGACACGCACACGCCTGAGCGAACAGGGTGCATTTCATCGTGATTTATGTACATAACAAAATGTAGCTTAGCGACTGGTGATGTCATTATGGGATGTCCAAGGAAGTGAAGTTACAAGACGAGGTCAGCATCCATTTCCTGAACTGAACTTTCTCCATTCTCACAGTGACCGAAAAAGTACATTGGTACACCCATGTTTTTAAAGAGTATTGTTATCTTTGCTGAGTTACGCAACTGAACTAAAATAGCCAGATTTACCATTTCCAGAAATATGCCTGTTTGGTTGATGCTTTTGCAGTGCAGGACATGTTTTTAGTTCATTTATCATGACTCGTATATATTCCATTCTTGAGTGAACTACAAATAATGTTATTAAAAATAAAATATGTTTTCTTTATTTTCATGAGCAAATTTGTACTGTTTGTTCTTTTACCTTTTTGATCATTCATATCTGACTGATTTTATGAATTTTAAATGCTATATGTTCTGTCGCAGAGTCAGATGCACGTTTGGAGGATCAGATGGACTATCAGAAGACAATGTGGCTTGATGTCATGGACAAAAAAGATGCACCAGTGGTTAGTACTAAACATATAGTGTTTATAGACTTTATATTTAATTTACTACACTTGACTTATGAAATATGCTGTGGGCGTATGTTGTGACATTAATGACATCCCATGATAGTTAGGTAGCAGAAATACAGTAGTTTTTTACTGTTTTTGTCACTTCTTTGTTTTATGTTGATAGATGATTTTGACTGTTAGGGTTAACTTTTTTTCGGAATCACATTACACGTTTGTTTAAAAAGTTATTAAGTTGATGCTTGGCAAACCCAACAGGACGCTTGTGATTTCAAACCTTTTTTAACCAAAATAGCTTCATGCTTTTTTGTCATTATCTCTGTCAGTGAGATCCTAACATTCATCAATATTCACAGTTGCTTTGAAGTAAATAATTTTGAGCACCGAGCTCCAAATGGGGGCGATATTTCCCTGAAAAACATAACATAATATCCTGTTACTCAGCAGCATTTTGGTCGGGTCCTCATAGTGTCTGTCATGTATAACCAATAACAGATGTGTCCTCCCTTTCATCTAGTTATGAAAAGATCTGAGAATTATTATAAACATCTGAATATCCAGAAGTAATATCTTTGGATATGTGGAGCCAGTGCTACAGTAAAGAACAGAAATGCATGCACTACCGTTCAAAAGTTTGGGGTCTGTTAAAAGTATTTTTTTTTTCCATTCTGATCTTATTCATCAAGAATGCATTAAATTGATCAAAAGTGATGGTAAAGACATTTATAATGTTAAAAAAGATTTCTATTTCAAATCAATGAAAAACAAAAATTAAGTATTTACACAAAAATGTTAAGCAGCACAACTGTTTTCAACACTGATAATAATAGAAAATGTTTCTGGAGCAGCAAATCAGCATTTTAGAATGATTTCTGAAGGATCATGTGACACTTAAGACTGGAGTAATGATGCTGAAAATTCAGCTTTGCATCACAGGAAGAAATTACAGTTTAAAATATATTCAAATAGAAAATGGCTATTTTAAATTGTAATAATATTTCACAATATTACTGATTTAACTGTATTTTTGATCAGCACAACGAAAGAGCAAAAGAGACTGTTTGCATATGTGTGTGTGTGTGCGTGTGTGAGAGAGAGGGAGAAGAGGGGAGTGGGGGATGAGCGAGGGAAAGGGGCCGATCCTTCACACAGATGTGAAAGATTAGGAGCGTCTCATTTTTCCAAACGCTTGAGCCGTGGTGATTGTGCCTGTCAGGACCTCATGTGGGAAAAAAGCTTTGTTCAGTGTCACAGTTTCTTCGTACGCATGTTGGAAAGATGTACGAGCGATACAAGCGGAGGTATAGTTTGTGTGCCAAAGGAGAGAGAACTGTGGATGTAGTTTTAATCAAGGTAAGAAGATCTGAAATGTGGACATTCGGTGCTGTTGCATTGGGACTATATATAATATAAATTGTAGGTTTTAAACTAGGTCCACAGCACAAAGCTTGTACAGCAATGGATTTTTGTAACTTTTCTAAATCATTATAAAACATTAAATATCTATTTTTGTTGAGTAGGTCAGTAGTAATTTTTGTATTTTGTTAACAGCATAAAATAAGTTTTAATCATATATTTATACATGTCTGTTTTTTTTAGTAGCATAACATAGCAAAAAAAAATATAAGTGTGTGTATGTATGTGTGTATGTATATATGTAACTATATGTATAATATATATATATATATATATATATATATATACACACACACACGTATGTATGTATGTATATTAGGGATGTGACGATTAACCGCGAGCCGGTTGAAAATCGATTTAAATATGTGACGATTCGAATTGGTTGAGATGCTAAACAAATCGCGATTCAATTAAGGGTAGGAGTTTATATGAATGTATGTCTGAGGGGAACTTACTGTCTTTCGATGGTTTTTTTTTCTTTTCATCTTGCCTCTGTATAAAGCATATTAAAGTTCATAAGTGCAGTGCTGCTTTGTTTACAGCAGAAACCAAGGAAACACTTTAAGCGCCACCTGCTGGCAGAGAGTGAATCTGCGTCTCATTCAGCCCGTCTGCTGTTTCGGTTTCATGCAGATATTTTTATTTCACAAAACTGAAGTCAAACCATTCTGGTTTTGCTTCATATTTCGAAATTATACAATCTAATTTAGATTAAAAACTGCTCATGTTGCATGTATGCATGTTGCATGATCCAAACAATCTTTGTTTGGATCATTATAAAATGTTTGGATTAAAATGCAGCAGTTGCCTCTAATTTAAAATGGAAAGAGCACAGACAAAGCCTTAGTTTGTTTATATGAAGAGA